TCTGGCAGGGGCGGGCGGCGGCGGTCACAGGCATCTGCTGGCTTTATTTGAAAGCCCTGGCAAGCGTGCAGGTAACCGGTATAGGTATATTATGGTATACTTGGATTTTTTTTTTTAAAGGATTCTGACAGGGTGCCTTACAAGAGGCGCTTAAAGAAATCCTGTGGATTAGTTATTGATTAAAAGATGGGAAAACAAGTAGGAATAAATAGGTTTCTCAGCAAAGACAGGGAGTGTCACCAGATGGGTCCCAAAGGCTTCTCTGCTGTAACCTGCTCATAGGCATAAATGTCCCGAGAAAGGAAGCGGATAGCAAGGATGAGAAATCACAAACAGAAGCAAATTCAGGGTAATGACTAAGGTGCCTTAAAAGGATCTTTTAATGCTAAGTGGGCAATAAAGTGAAATTCAATGCTAAATAAGTGAAAAGTCATACGTAGGTGGAAAACCATCTTAACTATACTTACCCATTTATATATATGTATGTGTCTTGTCATTTAGGAAAGATTTTTAGAGGGTAGATATTTCTGTGAAAATGTCATGCTCAGCAGCTGTCAAAAAGACAAACAAAATTACAAACTAACTAGGACAGCAAAAAAGAACAAGACAAAAAATCACCCCTTCACCACTCCAGTAGACTGTATTTTCAGTCCTGCATGCAGTTCTGGTTCCCTCCCATCACAGAAAGTGGATTGTGAGATAGGAAAAAGAGTGTCAGGGACAATGAAAGATATGGAATGGTTTCAAAATAAAAGACGATCAAATAGACTAGGACTTGTGTCATCTTGTTGAAGTGGTGTGCTAACATCTTCATTTCATTTTTTAGAATGATAATAAAGAAAAAGATAAAAGAAGTTCATGAGGAACCTGTACAGAAAAAGAAAAAGGTGAAAAGTAGCAGGAGCCAGACTATCATTAAAATTGAGAAAGATGTTCAAACTGTTACTAAAACTGAGGATGATGACCAGCTTGAGACAAAAACAAAGGTAAGGAAAAAGGAAAATTTAAAAGAAGATGAATGTTTAGACCAATTAGAACTGAAGAAGAAGAAGAAAAAAGAGAAAAAGAGAGTTGGCTCTGAATTACTGAAAGAAGCACATTCAGAAAGCTTTGTGAATGTAGAAGGCCATCTGGATTCAGAACCTCAAGAAGAATCAGAGGAACAAATTAAAATTCTCAAAAAGAAGAAAAAAAAAGTCCAATGTCATTCCTCCTTATCATTGGAGAATAATCAGAGTAGTGATACGGAGTTTTCAAATCATCATACAGATGGTACTAAGGAAAATGAATTTGCTTTTAAAAAAAGCACAAAGAATACTGCTTTGAATTCGGAATTGGATGGTGAAGTAACTAAGAAAAAAAAGAAGAAACGCATTTTTTCTTTAGCATTAGAAGATATCCAGGACAGTGAACATAAACAGTCTGAAGAAGTTTGTAAAAAAACACACAAATACATTTCACAAAAAAAAGCTTTTACTGGCGAAAACCATGGAACAGATATTGTCCAGAATGATGGGGAGAGTTATGTGAGAAGAAGGAAGAGGAAGAAAAAGAAAGATAAGTCTGACTCCTTTTTACTACCAGCAGATAATCAGGACAACATCCATGGAGTTCCTGATAGCCCCATTGCATTAAATGACTTCAGAAAAAGGCAAAGAAAGAATTTCCAGGAAATTACATTGACAAATAGAGAGGAAGAGGACATTACTGAGAACTCTGGAGGTATCAGATTGACCAAGAGGAAGAAGAAGAGAAGCAAAGATGTTTCCTCCTTAACATGTGAAGATGATCAAGACTGCAGTCACAGAGTTCCTGATAAGCATCTCCCTGCACAGCAAAAAGTTGAGTCAGAGGAAGAAGAACTTTCTGGAAAAAAATGCAGGAAGAATATCAAGGACAATAATGAAGTAATCAAGAAGAAAAAGAAGATTCAGAAAGAGGAGGAAACAACATATTCAAAAGTTTCTTTAAACAATGACAGTGCATCTAAAAGCCAAAAAATAACACCACTAGAAAGCAATAAGAACAACGAGAGTGAAATGAAGCGAGCTGAATGTGTCACAGGGGATGTTGTAGATAGGGTATTATGCAATAGTAATCATATGCTCGGTGACAGAAAAAGGAAGAAAAGAAAAAAAGTACCACCACAGGACTCTGCTGAAGAACAAGGTTCAAAAGCAAATGCAAAAAATAAAAAGATCAAAAGAGAAGACATGGGAAATGAGGCACTGGTAAGTTGTAAAGAAGAGGGTATCTTTGCACCCTCCTGCCAAGGAATTGGAAGCTTTTTAGGTAGACAGTATCCTATTTTGCAGGCTGTTCTGCCTGTTCAGACCCTTAGGTTACATTTAGGTCAATAGGGGCCCTCCTCAGGGTTTTAAGAAGCAGGATCAGCTGATCTGTTGATTTCAGCACGTAATAGTTGTGAAACACGGGAAAGTATTTTTTACTGCCTACTGCTGTAGTCATCTAGTGTTTCAATTGTGAAAATGTAAATGTTACAACTAACAGCAAGTATTGGCACAAAAAAACCTAATATATACAGTCATAAATGTTCTATCCCTCCTTCAGTTGCTCTTAGCAAAGTAGCAACACTCCTGTAAAATAGGATTTTAATACTATGTCATTTAACCTGAGCAGGCTGGTAACGTTGGCAGCATGAGTGCATCTAACTGTGTTTATTAGACTTTTACTCAAGCTTTTGCTGCTGTCACTGCTGGAATTGCACAGTGTAGAAACAAGGGGGAAATTTAGCCAAAATCTGTTGTCTAACTTGGACAAAACTTTAGAGAAGATCCTAAGAATCCTAAGTGTAGACTAGGCCTAGAGCATTGATGTATAAATTCTGATAGAAAATACTACAGAACAACCTAAACACAAATTCTTAATTTAAAAAATAAATCTATGCAAGAAAATAAACAGATATAAGAGCTGTGTAAATTATAACAAGGTAACTGGAATTGTATCCAGACTGACTG